TGCGAGGCTGCAACTCGTTATGACCAAATCGCAGCCAATCCTGTGATGACAGTGAGTTGAGATGGGCAGTAACACGCTACTAAGCCTCTCATTTCTGTTGGGCCCTCTTCCCAACGAATCCTTGTCATTAGAGTTGTAGAGCATAAACCTGCTAAGAGCTCCACTACTCAGCTCACTCACTCACACACACACGCAAGTAGCAACGACTGCTGCGAAACAGAGAGCAGAGAGAGAGGAGAGAGAGAGAGAGAGAGAGGAGAGAGAGAGAGAGGAGAATCCCACTATCTTGTGTGAGTGACAAGCCGGCCACCACGGCCGGCACTCGCAGACAAAGCTGGGGACTCCTATTGGTGTAAATGCGTTCATTGACGAGTCAGCCACAATGCTGCTGAAGGACCGCGGAGGCGCATTAGGCCGAGCAGACGGATGAAATGCTCCCATCGCAGGAGAACACAGAGCGACAGCCTAGTTCAGCCGCTCGCTCGCCCCCGTACCTCGCCATGGGATGTATCAAAAGAAAACAACCAAAAAAAAAAAAAAAAAAAAAAAAAAAAAAAAAAAAAAATAACGGGAAAAGCGTTGCGCCGGACGAAAGGGAAAGGACGGACGCGTAAGTCAGAGCACCTTTTTTATGGGGCGTTTTTTGGTGATCCGGTGTGGTTTTGGCCTGAAAAATGTGCGTACTTGCTGTTAACAGGTTGATGTGGAAGAGGTTGCTGTTTAGCTGGCCTGTTCTTGGTGTAAAGTAAGGGGACAGCGCGTCAGTCGCTAATGTGTGCCATAAGGCTGGCGAAAACTGCATTTTGATGCTGCCAACTGTTTTGCGCAAAATGTTCTCTAGTTGTGATTTTTTTTTTTGCACTATACTTTCTTGACCTGGTTTCGGCCAAACCGCCGTTTCGGACATTCCACTTTGTTTACCGCGTGCACTCAACAATTTTAAACTTGCTGTGTTTTTGATGTGCGCCAATCAACCGCGTGATTTCCCCAAGTTCAAAAGGAAGGGAAATGAGAAACAGATGAAGAGGCAAGAATCTCAGGGGGGGGGTTCTTAACAATGGGCTGCTAATTTTTTTTTTGTGTGTCAGTTAACGCGGAATCGTTTCATGTGTAAATCGGCGGTGCGTTTCCATTAAGATTATGGTTGAATCGCATGTACACGCACATACTCTACATCCTCATATGCAAAAAGAGAAACGCACACTTTCATTACAGCAAGCCCTCCTGCCCCTCCGCCTCCCCCACTCACACTTCTTGTGTTGGTGTTTCTCAAGGAGGGTGACTCCAGGATGCAGCTCCAGGTCTAGAGTTTCTCCTCCAGGCCGTCCGCACAGGTTCCACAAACCCAGCCCGGCCCAAACCACCCCAGGTAAATCCATGATGCCCCTGGGACACCTCACCAAGGGGGCGAGCTGGGAGGAGCTGATCCAGACCTGTTTGCAGTCTTTCGGTAAGTCTGTGCTGGCCTACCTTGGCCCTGGTGTTGAGTTTGACATGGTGGAGTGCTGCCTGCTGCAGGTGCTTCTGGTCTATGTTTGTGTAACACTGAAGTATTTTTTCAAGTTTGACTCATACCTTCTCTGTGGTCCTGTTACTGAGAAACAGTAAGATAATACGCCTTAAAGGCAGAACAAAAAACTGCACCTTTTATGAGATCACACTGTTGTTGTTTCCCCACAAGTCTTTGTTTTTCCAAAACACCTTTCCTGGCATTTTGCTGCAAATCTCCATCAAGTCTGGGCAGGCCTCTATAGAAAAGGAGTGGGAAGATTTACATCTAAAAAGTGAAATTGGTTTTCTTAACACAGCTGCATTTATTAGTGTTGTTTTACATATTATTATTATTTTATTTAGTTTTGTGCTGTGAAAATGTTGAAGAAGATATTTGATGGTTGCTTGTATCATAATTTCTTCTGCAATGGTTGCAATGGCTGCGCTGTATGTGTTGGTTTATGTGTCAAATGACATTTTACTGTCTGCAAGATGTATAGTGTTTTTAAAAGAAAAAAGGACAGCGGTGATTGAGTAGGTTGTAGTTGGATCAATCAAGCAAAGATCATTGGCTTCATCAAGTTGTCTGGAGTGCTCTCGGAGTTATGGTGATTGTGTTTCTGAAGAGACAAGCTTTCAAATTGCTGTTGCCTGGTTACAAAAATGGAGCAAGAGCAATGGAGAGGTGTTACAATGGGCTGCACATAAAATGACATCCCGCAACTACATTTATCTGTGGAGATGTAAAAACCAGGCAGTAATGACAGCCTGCTGCTCATTTCAGATACACGAGGGAAACGGATTTAATCAGAAGAAGCTAAGGAACCCTATAGTACTGTATTATACAGTGTTTGAGCACTTGGCTTAAAAAAAGTCCTTTCAGTGTCACTATGCAAAATTTGACATCCACACACACACATGCTCAGATGGTATCTCACTGAGTACAGTGTGTTATGACTGGGGTTTTCCTTCAACAGCCTCTCCTGATAAAATGGAGCACTGCTCTGTTCCTCCTGGCCCACATCACAAGCGAACCCCCAAGGTCCATGAGTCCTGCCACCTTTTCAAATGTGAGAGTGCACGTAAGAGCTATTTGAAGGATTACCTGATGGCAGCTTCAAGCCTGGCTGAGCTGAAAGGTCAGCTCCCCTAACAGTGGTCCTCAGATGCTGACCAGCCTTTGAAATGCAGAGCGCTATGAGGTGTGGATCAATTGCTGTTGACATCATCACTGTCTTTAGACCGTGCTGCTCTGGGCTGCACCGCATGCTCTGAATAGGCCCTGCGTCAACCTAATTCTATTTTGTTTTTAAAAAAACAATACAGGTTACAGTTGCTTTGTATTCATACAGGTTTTCGTTTTTATTAGATATCATTTATAAGATCAAACATCTAACAATAAAGTTTTTACAGGGAGAAGTTTGTGTTGGCCTGGTAGAAAGTGCTTGCAGTGGTTTTAGATTTGATATTATTTAACTATTAATGCTATAAAAGTAGATATGATAGTGATTATTTTTATAAAATTGAAACAGAATGTTTGCATTCATAATACTACCACTTTGAGTGGCAGAAGCTGGACATTTCCACTATTTATGTATTTCTTTTAGCTATTTCAACCATTGATTTATTATGTTAAGATAACTGTTTCGACCATCCTTTTTAGCTGTTTCAACCATACAAAACATTACTTAATGCAAACAATTTTAACTGTTGTCCATTATTTTGAGCTATTTCAACCATTTATCAAATCAGATCAAATCACATTTATGTACAAAGCACATTTAAAAACAACCCATGTTGACCAAATTGCTGTACAAGCCAGAGCAGGTAGAGGAGACCATAATTAGTAATTGTTAGCAATTTGTACATTACTTTTAACTAACAATTTCAGCTGTTGTCCATTTCTTTAAGCTATTATATTTATGCATTAGTTTTAGCTAACTGTCACTCCTAGTCATGTGGTGTCCAAGTGTTATAGCAGACTCAATATGTGGATATATTTTTTTAAAGAAATCATGAGCCTCTATTTTTTATAAAATTAGACAAGCTACTCCATAATCTTTTAATGCACCCCCTGGCAGCTAAAGAGTTACTTCCTGGGGTACAAGTACTGTAAAGCTGTCGTTCTAAAACTGTAGGGCGGGCCCCACTGGTTGGGCATAGAGCCACTGCAGGTGGGGCATGGATGACCAAAGGAAAAATATGGAGTTGAGCAAAGTTCAATGCATATGATTTATGTAGGGAAAATAAACCAACAAGAGTTTGCCGATGCTATTGCGCTGACATTTATTTTACTGAAGTTCAACTTGGATCCCTTTTTTACTAGTTTCGGTTGTTAATGAGTGCTGAAGGCTTGGTTTCTGAAGGGAGCCATGCCAGAAAAAGTTTGAGAACCACTGCTGTAAAGTATACATTCAAACAGAGGCTGTGACGTTACAGGTTATTATGGAGACGTTTGTTCAGAGCACAGAGAGATAAAAATCACCCTGCATCAGACTTGGATTCCTCTAAAACAAAGAGACCATCCAGTCTGATGTGCTCTGTCAAAACAAGGAAAAGCGACACGCACATTTGGAGCGGCTGATTAATGTCTTAGATAACCTTAAAACTAGGCCAGACACTGTGTGCCCTCCGCAGTGTTTATCACCATACAGTATCACAAAGTTCCACTGTAGCGGGTGGCAGCTTTCCTAATTTTCCAGTCAGGAACAGACAGTCCAGAGAGGATTTCCTCTTGCAATTAACCCTGCACAGGGAGGGTTAGTGGTTGGAAAGTTGTGAAAAAAAGAATTGAGCAATTGTTTACCTGGTGGAGAGTCATGGCTTCCTGTTTTGCATTAACCATATGTCTGACTTTTGCTGAATCACACCTGATTGTTACCAGACTCTTAAGCAAAACATGACTGTAAATTAATAAATGTAGCACAACAGACTTATAGCTGAGTTTTTCACAGATGTCAGGAAGAACAAAAAGAAGTGGCTATTGCTTTATATACACGTCTTAACTGCATCAAAGCATTGCTGCTTTACCAGCCATGTAATTCTGAATATTAGACATTGTTTCACTAGTCTCTTTTATTCTCTTATTGACTAGACTGGTGAGGTCATTGATGTTCACTGGATTTAGCTGGTAGTGTAACAAACAGAAACACACCCCATGCAGGATATGAGGGCTGGATTAGTCAGCTGTGGCTGGAGTGGTGAGTTGCTTACAGATAACAAAGATTAGAAAACATGTTGCCATGGAGTCCGGGGTACTTCCAAGGTGATATGGTTTGAAAGTGGATCCACAGACGCCTGATGTCCTTGATGGTGTCAAGATACTGGTAAAGCTTAAAGGGAAACAATACTCAGCTTGAAAATTCACAAATGTTGTTTCTTAAATTTTCAGCACAATCTGTTCATTCTCTACAGATTGTGGAAGGAAGATGTAAACAGCCTAAGATGTCCCATGATGTTTAAAGAATAATTTCAAGATGCAATTAAATGCTCTTCCTCTGTATGCCAACCACTAATTCGCTGCATGTAGCAGTGGTCTCACAGAAGATAAGTAGTGTGTTGCTTCGCTTAAGTGAGCAGGGAAATGCATTTTCTGCAATGACAGGTCAGATCTGGCATTGTAATATTTTCACATACGTACACAAGAAAGTTTCTAAATCTGTGGGTCTCAAGATGTAGCGTAGGAAAGGTGGTCTCGTCACAAAGAGAGGAAGTCAGATATACGCAAGGAAAAAGGAAGCGAAAAAGGTAGTGAGACAAGCACGCTGCAGAGGTTCACACAATCAGAGGAAAGGGCAAATCTTCAGAACCTTGGGTCTGTGTGACGAAATGTTACAGTGTGTGCATCTGCCTGGTTAACTCGGCCCTCTGTTGTCTACTGATGGAAATACTATGTGATGGTTTTCACAGGTAACACCTGAGGGTTATTCTGTGTTTAAGGGGGCCAGTTATATCTGTCTTTACAATCCAATGCAGAATCAAATATAATCTATTTTTTAATCAAAGAAATAATCCGTGGGTATAGGTTTATTTGCAAAGTGTGATCTGTGATTCATTGCAATTTGTCCCAGTTATAGTAAATAAAGGATAAGGCACCAAAACCCACAATGAATTTATTCTACCAGCAAATATTGTGTAAAAATACTACAAGTACTACTGTACTTTTTTTCAGGTATCTGTACTTTACTTATTTTCATGAAAACGTTTTACTTTTAACTCCTACATATCTGTACTTTCCACTCCTTACATTGTCAAAACAGGCTTGTCACTTTAGTTTTAATGCGTTTGAGGGAAATATTTTATATTTATGTTCATTTATTTATTTAATATGTGTTATTTGTACTTCCACTTTAGTAAAGAATGTGTGCACTTATGCGACCTCTGTCAGTGAGCCGCAACACACCTGTTCCTTCAGTGTGATAAACATGGGCACTGTAGTTTATTTTGACCCTCACTGCCATGCTGCTGAAGATTTTCACTTGAAGCACCAAACGTGAATTAATCCGCAACTGAAAATTGTCCCCAACAAATGCGCAATTTACTAAAAAAAGCAGTGCAGTGAATCCTATTTTTACCAGTTTACTATGTGTAAGCAAAGTAAAATTAAACACACATGATGAGTAAGATGCCACTTAAACAAGGGAAACCTTGTGTCACTCATGCGCCTTTATTTTAAGGTGACATTGTCTTGCAGAAAAGTTATATCCTCCTCTTAGCAATGAGGGTAATATTAAGTGTGTGCGTATTGTCTTGCAGACACGGATGGTGTTGTATGTGGGAGCAGCCACCTGTTGAACATCAGCCTGACCATGCACCGTCTTCTCATCTCCTCCAATGATCTGCTGGACAAACTCATCACTCTATATCCTTCAACAGTCCGACATAAAGCCATAACCGCTACAGTGCAGGCAGATGATTCAAACAGTGCATTGGCCAATTTTGAGCACCAAATGCAAGATGGGATCAGATCACTGGCTCTGCTTTGTGCTGCTTTCCTGTGGTTGTCAACAGCAACGAGCAATCAAGCTTGTACTTGGCGTACAATGCAGCCTGTAGCTGTCAGTGTAAAATGTGATAGGCAAGTGGCAGTTCGTGTTTACTCCTGCTGTCGGTTGTTGTAGACATTTTACATCTCTATCTGAGTACATTTCCTTCACTCTGGGCCCTGTACCCCATGCTTTCAGTAACAGAGAGTCTGTTACCAATGTGTATCTGGTCTCTTTCAGAATGTTTGATTTTGTCTCTTCAATTTTCCCCAACTTCACGCCTGGAAAAAAGCATTTTTTTTGTAGTGTCTCGAGACTTGAGTGGAGGGCCTGTAATCTAGGCTTTCATTCAGGAAACAGCAGTGGCGTCACAAAGCCTCTCAGAGGTGCCAACTGGCCTGTCAAGCAGCCTTGGGGTTTCAGGTGTTAATTACCTCTGCCTCTTTCACATACAAGTCCTCTTCAACTATATATAAACACAGACCCTCTATTGCTTTAAGAGGCCCCTGCTCACAGGAACCGACGTCAGAGCGTGCAACGCCGAATGCCCTTCTGCTATTTTTAACCCTCTCGTTTTGAGCCCAAGACCCAAAAGGATACATCAAATAAATTCAATGTGTGGGTTTAGGATCAGTGAAGAGACACAGGGGCCATTAACAGCCTTCATCACAGTCTGGCCTTGGGATTGCGTGGGCGGTTCGTCTGCTCCCATGACGCAATTAGCCTTTTTATGTGCATCACTTCACGCTGATTTCTGCCAATTGAGAGCTATAGTGTCAGGCTGTTTATAGAAGCTGCTTCGTATAATAAGGAAATGCTTTTGTGTGCACTGTGTATAAATCGACGAGGGTGCTGTCGCGGTCCGCATGTGCGACCATATTGCCGAATAATTGCAAGGCATTGATTAAAAACATTTTTAGTGTCCTACCAGTAAACAATGCACATTAATCAACAGTTGTTCAATTGTGTGTTTTCTTTGGACATTTTGTTATTCACTTACTTCTGTATGCCAGAATGATTCAGTGATGCTCATCAGTTTTGCTTCATGCAGCCGCCTCCTCCCACATTACCAAATGCCACTTCTGTTAGCCTTTTTATTTAGTTGCTGTAGTTTTTATTAATGAATTGTTTGCACGAAAGAAACTCTGCAGTCGAGTCAACCGTATGTTCAGTATATACTCAAAACGCACCTTTCCTGAGCAAAGTTGAAGATCAGCTGATTTGCTGGCAAGCTGTTCTCACCTAAACAAAAATGCTGTTAAGCGTGAGACACTGCTGACTCAATAAAACCGCACTTTACCTAGGTTAATAATTAAGTCAACATTATTTCCTTAACCAAAACGCTTACATATAAACTAGCACTGGACAACGAACAGCCAACAGAGTGCCAGAAGATATGCTACTTCATCAGGTCAGTTTAACACATTAGCGCATTTTAATAGTCTTTAATTGTGTGTTGTGTATTCAGTTACATGGTATCATCTCTGACTTCCAGGCATTGGATCCAGGAATTCTGGATAAGCTTCCGGTTGCAACACAGCTTGTCAGACAGCCTGGAACAGTTCCGGGAGCTGATCAGAGAGCAGGGACAGGAGCATCTTTGCTCTCTCCTAGAGACCAAATGGATGTAAGTGTTAATCTCTGACCAGCTGGCAACTGAGACATTAGGCCTGCACGACTCTCAGTTGTTTGTTCTGTCATGGAAAATACTGAAAACAGTCACGATCAAGATTACAGACTTTGAACTGTGAACTGCATAACTTTGAAGCTGCTAATGTAGCAGATCAGAGAAGATCAAATATTTGTTTCTTTTTCACATCACATATACAGTAAATTTCTGTTTTCTTGATCCAGTGTATCATTAAAGTTACCTCACACTTGATTACTTAGTATGAAGTGAAATATGATCGGTTAATCTGCCCATTATTTTCTAAATTAATCAATTGATCATTTGGTCTATAAAATGTAAGATCTTCAGATGTCATGTTTTGTCTGACCAACATCCCAAAACCCAAATATATTCAATTCACTATCATAGTAAACTACAAACCATCAATTTGAATTGTTGAAATAAACTTTTAATTATATATATGTGTGTAATTACCATTATATTAAAAAAAAACATTTACGTACTGGTATCTGGGGGAGTGTTTCCATTGCCTGACCGCATTACCACAAATCTGATAGACACAATAATGTCTCAAACTGTCACTTTCTAATTTATGGAGTCATGTCAGGCTGTTACTTAACCTTTGCTGATTTGTAAATGTGACCATGTTATTTTCCATGGTGTGTTCTAGAAATGAACGGGACCGGTCGTGGAAGGCCAGCCAGAAGATCAAAGCTAACTACAGTAAAAAGAGGAAAGTCTCTCTTCTTTTTGATCACCTGGAGCCCATTGAGCTGGCGGAACATCTCACCTACCTGGAATTCAAGTCCTTCTGCAGGATATCAGTGAGCATACACACTAAAAACCTATTCAAGTGTATCTAGGTTGTCTTTTGCACGCTGACGATTTGTTAATTTGACATGCATCTCTGTGAACTATAAACCATTAGGTGTTTCCTCCCCAGGGGAAATGCCTCACAGTTTCCGTGCAGCACTTTATGCTTGTCTCTCTGCTCTCTCTGCCAGTTTGTAGACTATCAGAATTACATTCGCAGCTGCTGCATGAAGGACATCCCCGTGATGGAGCGTTCCATCGCCCTGTGTAACGGTATCTCCCAGTGGGTTCAGCTGATGGTGCTGAGCAGGCCAACCGCTCAGCTGAGAGCTGAGGTTTTCACCAAGTTTATTCACGTGGCCAAGGTAGTGGTTTAATCAGCCCCTCATTAGCATTACTACAGTTTCTGTTCCTGGTTTAGCAAAAAAGAAAAATGGAACTTTATTTGACACATTTCCTCTTTGCTTGCATCTACGTGCTCCTGTAAAACACCGAATATATTGTCATACTCCGAACAATGCCATAGATCCTGCATAATTAGCAGCTGCATAAAGCATATTCACAGAGAGCTGGAAATGATTCTCGAGAGCTCTGCTGCAGGCTTTTAGCGTATTTTAGCATAAGATTTTACCAATAGAAAAATATTAACTGAATGCAAGCTAATGGAGTCATCGAGTAGAACACACTTAGATACTGAGGAGGTTGTGGAAGTGGAAAAGAGATAAATGACTTGTGACTGTTGTCGCCGATAAGACTTTGCTTTTTAAAACCACTCCAATGCGTAGCTGCACGCAGCCTGCTGAGAAAGTGAGGTGCAGGCTTCAGGGAGCCGTTATGCGGGCTTGTACTCTGGAGGACCTCTTGCACCCTAACACTAATGCACCAGTCTGCTGCTGCTCACTGCTGTCAACCTCAAAACCCACGGGTGTGGAAACGAATTTCACACCATAATGCTCCAGTGACAGCACGAATTAGAAAAGAAAAGAGAGGGAAAAGCACTTTCAAAAGAAGTGTGAGATATGAGAGCGCAGTAAGAAAAAGGCAACAATATAAGTGGCTTATATAACCGCACTGCTGGAGATTATATAACCGGGGCTACCTGGGACAAGTTTATTTGTGCGTGTTTATATGTGTGTGTTTGATACCAGTGCTTTTTGCGTCTGCTTCCACCAGAGTCTACATCTTATGCACAATTACAACACACTAATGGCGGTGGTGGGAGGGCTTTGTCACAGCTCGATCTCCAGACTGAAGGACACCACCTCACATGTACCTAGTGAGGTCACCAAGGTAAATGACGTAAGATCTCGCTGATAACACAGCCAATACATCCTCACATTAATGATTATAAAAATTTCTATTCAATCCTCAGGTACTGAACGAGATGACAGACCTACTGTCCTCCTGCAGAAACTATGACAACTATAGACAAGCTTACAACAAGATTACAGGTTTTAAAATCCCTATCCTGGGTGTCCACCTCAAAGACCTGATTTCGGTCAATGAGGCCATGTCAGACTATGTGGATGACAACAAGGTGAACGTCCAGAAGCTTCAGGCACTTTACAGCCACATTAATGAGCTGATCCAACTCCAGCAGATCCCTCCCGGGCTGGATGCTAACAAGGACCTGGTCCATCTGTTGACGGTAGTGCGCCCTTCAGTGCAACTCTGCATTCGGACTCTTTTTTTTAATTGTTATGTATCTTCATGTGATTCACTAGATTGTATTAAACACAAGCACAGATGCAAATGAGCGTGTTACAGCATGTGGATTGTGTCCGTGCTTGTGTGGGTGTGATGAGAGTCTATGATCTATGAGTGTGTGGGTGACGAACTGAGTGTGAATGAGAGTGAGTTCAGATTGCTGTATTGTTGTGTTATCTGTGTGCGGTGCTTTAATCGTACTTGAACAACAGAATGCCCATGAAGAGATAATAGTTACCCTGTGGCCCAATTCTGCCCTCATCAAAACATGTTTCAAGGAGAAACATCTAGATATACAGAGAGCTCTTTCTCTATTTGTTCACCTCTCATGTGCCGACATGTGTTCTCTCCTTCCCCACAGCTGTCCTTGGACCTTTACTACACTGAGGATGAGATTTACGAACTGTCTTACACCAGGGAGCCCAAGAACTGCAAAGCACCTGTGGGTGATAGAAACAGAGGCACTTATAGTTAACAACTGTTTACCAGCTGGCTTTATAGCAGTAGTTGGGGAAATAGGCTCATCTGCATTCCTGCCGAGAGTTAGATAAGAAGATTGAGACCACTCTACAGCCAGGAGCTGGTTAGCTTAGCTTAAAGACTCGAAAACAGGAAATACAGTTATTCTCTTTCTTGCCAAGAGTCAGATGAGAGGACTGATAGAACCCTCATGAAGCTACAACCTGCAGCTGGTTAGCTTAGCTTAAAGACTGGAAAAGCAGAAGATTGATACCACCCACATACCTGTATGCTAAATATGAAGCTGCAGCCAGTAGTTGGTTAGCTTAGCATAGGACAAAGACTGGAAACAAGGGGGGAATGGCTACCCTGGCTCTGTCCAACAGTAACAAAATCAACCTACAAGCACCTGTAAAAGGCAAATTGTTGTACTACCTTTGGACAGAGCCAGGCTAGCTGTTTTCCAGTCTTTATGTTGAGCTAAGCAAACTGCTGGCTCCAGCTACATATTTACAGACAATAGAGTGGTATCAATCTTCTCATCTAACTCCCTGCAGGAGAGAGAACAAGCATATTTCCCAAAATGTCAAAATACACATCTTTCTAAGCATTACTCAACAATTAGTTTCTCTGACTTCTAGCTAGTTGATAGTGTTGCTTCTGCTTCTGCACAGCAGGCCATGGAAATATTTAGTGTAATACAGCTGCTGAGATAATTATGTACATGTTTATCTGCCTGTTCAGGCTTGTTTTTTTAATGTCTAATTAATTTTCTATCAGCCAGCCACCCCCTCTAGACCTCCAGTGGTTGTGGACTGGGCATCAGGAGTGGCTCCTAAACCAGACCCCCGAACCATCAGCAAACATGTGCAGAGAATGGTGGACGTAAGTGCTTCCGCTTTCAAGTGTAGCCTCCGCATTGCTACTCAGTAATGCTGTTATATAACCGTAATCATTTATTTTAACTATTCTTCTCAATGCTGCCATTTTTTTGACAGCTTGCTCTTGCAGCTATTGTTCACTAATAGTCGAGCAACAATGGTGTTTGCCTCTTGTCTTTCACAGTCCGTGTTTAAGAACTACGATCACGACGAGAACGGCTTCATTTCTCAAGGGGAATTTGAGAAAATTGCTGCTAGTTTTCCGTTTTCCTTCTGTGTCATGGACAAAGAGAAGTAAGTGTTTGACAGGTCACGCACTCAACTCATTTGTGGCTTCAGAGGAGAGGAAGAAAAAGTGGTATTTGTAGTGATGAGCGTAGAAACAGGAAACATAAAATAGCAACACAACTAACCATAACCCCCACCACAACATGTTCACTGTTTATTTCTCATGCACGTCCACTGTTACATGATGCTCAAAACCCAGAGAGGAGCATGTGATTTCTCATTTAGACCTAGGCTAGAAAACCGCCATAGTTGATGATGTTACTGTTTTATCATTACACAATAAAAAAGTGGTATAGTGTTTTACACATGGTGCAGATGAGTGGGTGAGTCCCAAATAAATCAGATCAGGGATTACCGAACATTAAAGTGGGATGTGAAAGAAGATCTGAAAATGTCTGTCAAAATGTTTATTTCCCATATATACTGTATCATTTAGAGCTCTATTCCCTCTGTTAAATTATGCTGTGTGTGGTTGTGGTTGTCCAGGGAGGGCCTCGTCAGCAGAGAGGAGATCACAGCCTACTTCATGCGAGCCAGTGTTATCTGCTCCAAACTGGGTCTTGGATTTGTCCATAACTTTCAGGAAACCACTTACATGAAACCCACCTTCTGTGACAACTGCTCCGGATTTGTAAGTCACAACACGTATGATGAGTATAGAAACTGCTTGACTGCTATGTCACAGTCTAGAAAACAATGTGTAACGTTGTTTATAGGTTTGCTTTTGCTTCTTGATATTCAATGTTTCTCCTCCATATTCTTCTTCACAGTTGTGGGGCGTCATCAAGCAAGGCTACAGATGTAAAGGTAATTATTGCACTATGTATTGTGCAACTTTAGCATGTCTATATTTGTTCGTATATCAGTATCATGCTTTGAAATGAGTAGAGGTACACACACTGTGGGGAGCAGGTAAAGTGAAGCTATCTAAAGAAGGTGCAGTGTGGTTTTGTGTGTTGCACACAGCTAGCTGAACATTGCAGCATGAAAAAAAATTAAGTGTCTGCAGCCAGAACCACAGTTTTTCCCCCTCCCCCGTCCCTCAAAAGATCTGAGAGCTATTTGTTTGCTTGACAGTAAGCATGCAAAGCTTCCAGAGTTGCATTTGCAGAACAGATAGTGTTCAAAGAAAAGTCAGTAGAAGTCAGTTTGTCGATGTTAGTTTGAGTTCCTGTTCTGACATGTTGTGCATTCTTTTGGCTGGCTCAGACTGTGGGATGAACTGCCACAAGCTGTGCAAGGACCAGGTGGCATTTGAGTGCAAGAAAAATGCGAAAATGACCAACGCCATCGACAGTCCCACACCGAGCTCCACGCCTGTCACCATGGGCACCTCAGAGGGTGGGTTTGATTATGCGTGATGGGGTTCATTACAGCATAAACAGTCCGTTTGACACACACACACACACAC